AGCAGAATACGAACAAAGAAAAGCATAATTAAGAAGATGAGCATAACATTCACGGGCAAGTATTTTTTTCGCAGAAATATGTAACCTTCAATAAACATATTGGCGTGTTTGTATGTCTCTGGCTTCATAGGAAATTGCGAATCGCTTAACTCTACTCACATGTTCTTTGATATGTCTACAGAATAAATAAAATAATGCTTCTCGTTCAGTCGAAATAAAGGGGTTATCTTATTAGGGAAACTCATTTCCCACCTATTGTTAGAAATTTCTGGTGTTTTGAGGGTGCGCCGACGTTTTTAGCGACTGTGCCCGCCAAAAGCTCATAACTACTCGCGAAAAGGCTCAGAACAGACCGATACTTATACTTCTCTCGGCTCAAAATGTGACGCAAAGTATGAACCCAGCGTTAGAATCAGTGCCTTGAAAAGCTTCCACAACTAGTAAATTTTCTTAAAAACACCAAGCGTACCGCCATCGAAATCAGCTTCTTGTTCGAAAGAATGAGGCGATCTGTTTCGCTCTTCTGAACGACGACATCCGCGTGACGTTCGACTACTGGAATTTTCAATAACACCTCAACACGAAAGGTCTCAGACAAGTGAGAATAGTTAATCTCTGAAACGAATACCTGTTGCTTTCGTGATTTTGTCGTGTTTTCTCCTTACATAGGCAAGAACCCATACTGAAAGATAAATTGATGAAATCTCATGGTAAATTTACGTGCGAGAGTTTACGCAGCGCACAAGAAAATAGCAGTACTAAGAGCAATCAAACAAAGGAAACTGCAACAGATCAAGACTTTTGAACTTTTAAGCGGCATAAAGTCACTTCTAGGCACCTATCTGGGAAAGAAAGGATTTCTGGAAACATAAGTGGCATGGATACGGCTCTGTTTTCCACACTTACGAGGACGAGAGGAAATAAACCAGTAAAAACTGCGACAAACAGCATGCGAAGCAGAATTCATCTATGCGAAAGATAGTGGTTATCGGCCCTCATTTCGCTGAACTACCATAGATTCACCATAATCAAAATGAATAATCATTGTCACGTTCCACTTCGTAACATAGCAAAAAACAAAAAGCGGAATCTCAATGGAGCATAAATTGGCGATAGAGCGCGTCGTTGATAGTGAAAGCAGCTACTTGGAACAGTGAGTGGAACTAATGCTACCACGGAAGAGTTGTGCTTCAAAAAGCGTTAAGTAGTTAGGTACAGAGCACGTCGTACGTTGGGGTTCCCCACTCTAACTACTTAACGCTTTTTGAAGCACAACTCTTCCGTGGTAGCATTAGTTCTACTCACTGTTCCAAGTAGCTGCTTTCACTATCACG